TGCAATAAAGCAACAGATGAAAAACTGAAGCAAAGATTAGATAGACTAAGCTCCTTGTATAGATCCTAAGGCTTAAGAACTCGGTCACACCAGTCCCATTGATCTGAGTTGCTCAGCATATAGACAAGACAATTTGCCTTATGTCCATCAGCTCAGTTCAGACCAACTGGCGTCCACTAAAAAAGCCGGACATGTCTTTTTTGTTGCAATGCTCTATAATGCATCACAATACGCTGCCCTTCATAGTGTTAAATGATTCATAAAGTTTAACCCCTTAACGCCTAAGGGTAAAACAAATCTAAATGCCTAAGCACATTTTTACAATGTTGACATGTGTTAATAAAACCGTACATATCATCACAACTACTTTATACATCCAGGTGAATTCTACCGCATTTTTTTCAGGACAAATTGGGCTTTCATTTGGTGGTAAGTGGAAATCTCCTGATTTTTTTTTATTATCAAAGGAAATCTGGCCCAAAATAGTAAAAAAAAAAAAAAATTTTTTTTATTTAGCTGTGTGATTCTTGTTACTACCATAACCTACCACCAAAGAACAAATAAATTTCCAGCTCCTGACAATCGCAGTGATACCATATATGTGTATGCTATTTGTTGTTTGTACCCTTAGTACAACCCGGAAACAATAGTGTGCTTTTGTTGTCTTTTTTTTTTTTCCTAAAACACACTGACACTGACATTGACACTAACACTAACACGCTGATTCCAATTTTTTTTTTTAAATCCTGACCTTTGACCCCCACCTTGACTCAAACAATAACCCTGGCACTGAACTAGATCAAACCTTGATCTAGGTATTTTTTCTTTATTTTTTCTTTTATTTTTTAATATTTATTTATTTATCTTTTTTTTTACAAACATTTTTTTTCTCTCTATGCCAGGAGTTAGAGAGATACAATGTATCTTTCTTCTCCATTCATAGAGAGAGAAAAAACAAGGGGGCCAGGCTGTACAGTGACTGATCACTGTGATAGCCAATCAGAGACTATCACAGCGATCATGTGACCCGGAATCGGGAGTCCCAGGTCCTGATCGTTAGTACAGGACCCGGGGCTCTCAGTGACACCGCAGTCTTTGTGCTGGGAGCGCTCTGTGCGGCTCGCTCCCACCACAAAGACAGGTGTGCAAATATGCGACCCCACAGAAAAAAGCCCAGTTCCGTGAGGCCACATATTTGTGTTACGTCGGCGTCAAGGGGTTAATAAAAAAAAAATGCAAACAATGCTACAATGCATTGTAGAACCTAAGTACAACATACACCAGTAGATTGGCTCTGAGGAAGAGGTACAACCTCGAAACGCGTCAGCCATAAGCTATCCAAAGGTCTACAGTCCCCCACCAGACTACCTTCAGGGGTATTGGACCACACTGCATCTCTTGTGACATGCTTTTCATTTGATTTTATTTCTTTTTGAGTATTTTACTTTTTATCAATAAATTTCATTTTTAAAGGTAATGCAGTAGGCCCATGGGCCCTCTTTTTGTCTCTTCATATACAGTTCTTTTTGGATTTCCCTGGTCCGGTGAGGGCAGCAAGGCTTGCATTCCTTTCATACACATGTGGGGATATTGACATTGTGGAATCCATTGTCCAGCACAGGAGCTCAGGCATTCGGTTGCTCTTTTCTTCCTACCATACACCAGTAGGTGCTCATTAGAGCAGGCCCGATAGTGTGAATGGGCCCTAGGTTTCAGTTTTGCCTGAACAGAATATCCAGGGGTGACCTTACCTACCCTTTACCTTCAACCATATACAGGTAGAAGAGTATAATTGTACTTTCTCTAAAAATGATACATTTGTACCTATTCCAATAAACTCTGCCTGCACCCTCTTGGCTCTGAGTACTAACTGATGTGTTTTTACATTTTACTATAGGGAAAGGGATTGCTCATTCAGCTCAATAAAGAGCAGGTCTCCGCTCCTGCCCCCAAGCAGCGCCCGCGTGTGGTGCCAAGGAACAGTGTATTTATTATTATTATACAGGATTTATATAGCGCCAACAGTTTGCGCAATGCTTTACAAAATGAAGGTAGACAGTACAGTTACAATACAATTTGGTACAAAAGGGATCAGAGGGCCCTGCTCATTAGAGCTTACAATCTAAGAATATAAAAGATGGATGCAAACTCATGGCCTGGGCCATGGTGTTCGGCCATTTTCTGGTTCTGCAGTAATTCATTCATTTTTTTTCATTGGCTGCAAGGACAAGGACAAATACTATTTATAAATAACACAGAAAACAGCGCAAAAATTAAATACATAAAACTAATCACAAATAAATAAATGTCCGTGCAAAAATATATATATAATATTTCAAACATAAGTCCTTATTTTCCCAAAAGAATTTTCAAAACAATGTTCCAACATGTGCTTCCACCTAATCACCACGTGAAAAATAATATTGATCGCACTCACCAGATGGAGGTGAGTAATAAGCCTCATAGGATATAAGGGATCCTATAGCCCCTCAGGAGGAACTCAAATCGCCTTCACCCTGCTTAGATACAGCAATCGACTCCACTCTACTTCTCCATGGAATCCTCAATAGTGTGCAAGGAAAGAAAGGCTACATAGTGTTATACTGCCACTCAATACCATATAAATTGATAGAATAACGACACTCACATGTTTCAATAAAATAACAGGCCTTGTTTAATAGCCTCAAAGGTTTCAAAGGAACAAGTTTCCAAATTGTAAATATAGGGATCTCACGCTTTAAGGATCACTGTAGAGGATGACCAGCTTTCCACCTCAAAAATGGCTGCTTGAACCGCAAAAGTCGGCGTGCGTTCCAAATACCGGAAGTGACGTAGGCCAAGAAGACGGCAGACCGGAAGTGCGTCAACGCGTTTCGCCCCACCTACAGGGCGTTTTCAAGACATAATTGTATACTTTCTTTGATTGGCGCTAGGATTTTTATAGTTTGTAAATACTATTTATACTTTAAAGTCCTGTAATGGCGATATGAGGGTTATGCACCTTGTAACTGGAGAAGTATAAGCCAAATCAGCCAGCAAGTTCATTCTAAGGGTACCCAGAGCTTTGAAAAGCCAGATGAGGTACAATAACCTTTTTAAAAAGGCAGTAACCAGACGCAACTCACCTTTAATGGATTTCACTAGAGTAAACCGGAAAACTCCTCCACTCTGTCTGAATTATTAAATAACCTTTATGTGTATAAAAATTAGTGCTATGTATTAGGAATTATCACTCTGAGACTCAAGGGACACATCCTAAACACTCTATATTATGTATTTGTTATGACAGCCTGGAAAAATAATATTGCTACAAGTCATCCAATTTAGGTTCTATAAAATAGCTGCTCCTTTAATCACAGTGTCCCTAGACAAGCCAGATTAAGTGATTTTCTGGACTCATTTCTGAAATTGCTTTGAAATGAATTGGATGGAAAGGAGCGAGTGTTCAGGGGCAGAAGGACTCACAAAACAGATTATTTTCCAAAGTACCACACACACACACTGAAGAATGCAATCTCTCAAATTGTTGTTGGGATGAACTGTTATACACAGCAACAAATCTGGTTTTACCTTTGCAGTAATGCCCATTATTGCTTACTTACCCTTTTTCTCACTCCTTTAGCCTGGGTTCACACTCATGCGGTGCAGAATTTGCAGCGTTTTCTGTGCGAATACTGCACCGCATCAGAATCGCACAGCGAACAGCTGCGGGTGTGTATGTTAAGTTAACAACCCCCCCAAATCGGTCCACAAAACACTGTGCGATGTGCAGAATTGAATCACAAATACAGCTGTGTTCAAAATAATAGCAGTGTGTTGAAAAAAGTGAATAAAGCTCAAAATCCTTCTAATAGCTTTTATTTCCATACACACAAATGCATTGGGAACACTACACATTCTATTCCAATCATAGGTGTGTTGTCATCACGTACTATGCAGGGCCATCAATCCTGCATTGTAAGTCCTGTATTGTACTGTAAGTGAGGACATTGAGGGCCCATCCACAAGCCAAAGCATTGGAGAGAAACGGTGAGTGCCAGGAGGCAGTGGTGTCCCGAGGCAGGTGAGGGGGGTGCGGCCCGCACGGGGTGACACCGACTGCACGGGTGTCACCGGACCCTCTCCATCTGATCCAATCTGCGTGGATCATCGGCTTTCTTTACAACTTACCTTTTTGTGGAGTGGGTCTGGTGTCACCCCGTATAGGTTGCATGCCAAAGATCCCCGCAGAATGGATGGGATCTGCGGATTGGGGAGCATAATGGATCGGACTCCGATCCATTATGCTCAATCTGCAGATCCAAACCATCCTGCGGGTATCGTAGGCATGCAAACTATACGGGGTAACACCAGACCCACTCCACAAAAAGGTAAGTTGTAAAGAAAGCCGACGATCCCCGTAGGATAGATCGGATGTGCGGATTGAGCATAATGGATCGGAGTCCGATCCATTATGCTCAATCAGCAGATCCGACCCATTCTGCGGGGATCGTCGGAGGGGGTGTCACCAAGTGTTACCGCACAGGGTGACACCAACCCTAGGGATGCTCCTGCCAGGAGGTATATAGTGGAAGGGAGGTATATAGTAAATAAATGTGCTTGTTGCTTGCCCCATCACACCTTTCCAGTCCATTGCAGTGCCTTACTATACTATATACAAATACTAGACCTGCAGCTTTTTCCAATGCAACATACCACAACACAGGCAGTTTTTTTATTTTAATGTTATACATTTTTAAACTGATGTTTTTATAACACATTTAATAAGCTGACATTTTGTACTGTTATAGTTATTATAGATAAATAGGCTGCACACATGACACAGGAAACAGGCCTGTTTGTCTCTCTTTGTATTTGAAATTTTTTGATGAAGGCATCTGAACACAGCAGGAAAGGAGCAGAGTTGCTGATTTAACTCATTTGGTTGTGTGTACATTTTATTTTGAGCTACTGAGCTCTGTAAAAACAGATCTTTTTTTAAACAAAGCAAGTAAAGATAGCCTGGAGAACATGGGAAGTACAGATTCATCTGTTGTCTGAAAATGTTAATGTTATTTCACACTTAAAGTGCATCTATAGCAGGGGCGGACTGACCATTCGAGCACTCGGGCACTGCCCAAGGGCCCGGGGTCAGTAGGGGGCCCCATGAGATGCCCCTGGTATTTCACTGACTTTCTCATAGGCTTTTTTGGGTGTGGGCGAGGACACAGGGGCCCCATGATCCCCTATTGCCCGGGGGCCCCATGAGTTGTCAGTCCGCCCCTGATCTATAGTCAACATTTTTTGTTTTGGATAGGATAAGGTAAAGTTAGAACCACTGTCAGATTTTATTGCTAGCCAAGGCACAGTTAGAAAGATTTCTTCTCACTGTTCTTGGGACAACATTTTACAAGAAAATCTGCAACAGGGAAACAGACAATAATGAGGTTCTAGAATGCCACTAATTATATTTGAAAAGACATTTTTTATTTCTGTCTGTGGATTTCCCTTCACTTCCTGTCCTGGGGACAACCATTTTACCAGAGAAGAAGTGAAGTGATCTCTCCAAAAGAGAGCCTCTAATGGCAGTAAAACCCTACAGGAGTTCTAACCCGTCCCCAGGGGCGGACTGACAACTCATGGGGCCCCCGGGCAATAGGGGATCATGGGGCCCCTGTGTCCTTGCCTAAACAAAAAAGCCTATGATAAAGGTACCAGGGACATCTCATGGGGCCCCCTACTGACCCCAGGCCCTTGGGCAGTGCCCAAGTTTCCAAATGGTCAGTCCGCCCCTGCCCGCCCCTACTCTATACAAAACCTAAAAAAAAGATTGACTATAGATATATTTTGACTGATTAAAAAGAAAAGATTATTTTAAAATATGTCTTGATCACAGTAAGGAAAGATAATAAATGCAATCCACTGTTCATTTTTTTAATCACATAAACTACATCATTAAACTTTCTATAACCTTTACATGCCTAGATGAATGTAGACCAAGTACAAAGCTATGTCTATTAACTGTGCATCAGTATGTTGGGCTGATGTTTAGTGGCACAATCTTGCTTCTCAGACTGAAGGCACATTATGAGATTGTGATAACTATGAGATTAGAGGGTTCTGAAGAAAGCTGCACCATCTGTTGGCAAACTGCTTCACGGCACAGTCGGATACAGCCACGTGGTGGCATTTAGCTGGTAACAGAAGCTGCTCTGACTATATATTAATGCCTTCACTTCAGTCTTAGACTGCCAGAAGGCTACGTACTAGGAAAGGGTTAATGTGCTGGTACTTTGCTCATTCAGGTTCAGCTGGTAATTAGTGCCTAAAGTTGGAGAAGCTTGATTCAATTTGAAATGCAATAATATGAAAGTGCACAATCCAAGATCAATTACAAGTCATTCCATTCAATGAGACATACCAGAAATATATGCATTTCAAGGAATTTGTATGTTTGCGCAAACATATAAGGCTCCATGCACACGGGGCGTTTTGATAACGCTGGTAACGTTAGCTGTGTAAAGTCACATTAAAAAACGTGAGTTTTTCAGCTTTTTTTAGCGTTTTTGCATTAGCGATTAGTGGCATTTTGCTGCTATTAGTGGCGTTTTCCTGTGTTTTTCCGCATTTGCATTTTTTAGCATTTTTTTTAACAAAAAAAGAAATTTTTTTGTCAAAAAAAAAACTTCCAAAAACGCAGGTTTGCTGCGTTTTACTGCATTTTTCAGCGTTAGAGCATTTTTACAGCTAAAAAACTCCTCTAGAAACCCATTAGTCCTGGGGTTTTTTTCCAGCCAAAAAACACCCCTGCCAAAAAACACTGATTACAGTCTATGTGTGCCAGCAGCTGTAAAAACATCCAGTGTGCATGAGGACTAAGGGTTGCAATACATGGCTGTGCTCAAACAAAAAACTTAAATGCCAAGTTAGTTTAAAAAAAATTCTAATCATTAACCCTGTTTATTTGCCTAAACTCTTGGTCATGGGATGCACTCCGTTCTGAATATTTTCTACTCCTTTGAATATCTTCTACTCCTTATGGGTGGGAGGCTCCTCTCTAGGTGCCCATGGGTGGAAGGGCCCCTTTCTAGGTGCCCATGTCACTGCCTGGATGACCTGGAATCTTCCTGTTGGATGTCCAAGGGCAAAGTCCTCTCAAGACTCTTAAAACTGCATGGCGGACTGATGTCACAATGAGGGGACCGGCTGGTAAAGACACAGGCTGCAGTTTTTAACTATCTGTCCCCACTCCTGAAAGAGATGCTGTCAAGGGACAAATGACAGTAGATTCAGGTCAGTTAAATGGGGATTTTATATATTTTTTAACTGTTTGCTAATGGGTGAGAGGAAGGAATGGGCTATTTAACCTAAAGGTGATGATCATTTTTAGTTTTGTCAGTGTTCATAAACAGTCCCTTTAGGGGTCAATTTATAAAGCAGCAGTGTGGCCATAGCATGGACATAATACCATTTTTAAAAAATTAGAAGCACCTTGTATATATAAGTCACAGCAGTGTGTTTTACAAAGGTGTATTAAGCTCCAATTGTTCTGGGACTGTGAAGCAAGCAAAAACACAGTTACAAAGAATTGCAGAAAAAAAAGTCATATGACCAGCCTCTTCTCCAGTCACAAAGTTCTTACTGCTACCTTAAAGTGTATCCCAAATCAAAAGGTTTTTTTTACTTTAGATAGAGTGGTGAGGAGTTAGTACCAGTGTCAGATTTTTTTACAATCCATGTTATGGAGAAATACTCTCTCTGTCTTTCATGGTGACCACCATAACCAGGACTTAAAGTGAGGGAGAAACCAAAATTATGAGTTATTATGAGGAATAGGGGGGACATTTTTTAAATTAGGACACTTGTTTAGTAACAACTGGCTCAGAGGGATTTCTCTCACATTGGAGTAATTTCTTCTCGCTTATTGTCACTTTATACCCAGGAGGTAGAAAAAAAACTGGCAAGGGTTTTTATCATTCCATTTTCTACCCAAAATGAAAGAAAAGTTTTGCCTTTACTTATACTTTAAGGAAAGAGAACTCCATGACACACCATGGCCTGCACGTTATGAAAGGGTCATAAAATACAGGCCATAGTGTGGAGTAACTTTGCAGAATTATAAACAGGCCCCTTAGTGTACAGGATAGGAAATATGGATTGCTAATACAACAGATGTTCTTTCTAGTCTAAGGACTGGAAGTATGATCTCTGTAACTTATCTAGATGTGGCAAGATAGCTGTAACTTACAGTCTCAGTAGAATTGGCAGACAATGATTCAATCCAAATGATACCTTGTAGATCTTAGAAAGCTTTAATTCAAAAATTGTGCAAATCATAACAGATGAAAATCACATAGGTTAAAAAATCATGATATCTCTAGCACCGGGCACACTGAAGGATGGTGGGACTAACTGTACAGAGCATTTCCTAGTTATGGAATGAGAAAGGGACAACATTGTTTCAAGGCAAACACACAACAATGCATGGGTAATATGATCATCTCCATCAAAATGTATGATTTCAAATATTAAAACAATTGAGAATCAGGTCCAAACATTATAAACATTAACATACTGTAAAACTTGTAAAGTCATTTGTGTCTGTAAAATGGCAATCCACAAGTCTATCTTTAGAGGAAAGGCAGAAAACATGCATCAGTCCTTCCCTGTAAATCAAGTTATTGGTATAGAAAATAAATCATCCAAAATGGAGGAAGGTCTTTTACAGATGTACCATCCATGACAGCCTCATCAGCCTCATCTTTGACTTTGCAGAAGTGTTGAGTGTAATGGTATTAGTTCTGATTTCCTTGTCAGACTCAAGATCAGCCAGTTCAAATATACTGTAGAATCGGTGTGAATTGTGATGGGGTTATCATTTATAAACTCAGTTTGGGAGCGACCATGAAGTGTCCAGAAATGCAGTAGCTGGTACGGCATGGGTGCCACGATCAGCGGGGTTGAGGTCTGTAAGCATATTGATCGGGAATGAAGAACTTTCTGATTCATTCTACTCTGTTACTGACATACACAGAGCTGTTTTATTTGGTTGTGTATGTATCCCAACACTATATTGCTGTCTTTGTAAAAGAGTATATGTCAAAGTCTATTTCACATTTTATAACCTCAGCAATTTTAATGGCTAATATAGCTGCACATAGTTCAAGCCTTGCAATAGTATGTGTTGGTTTTGGTGTCAACTTGGCTTTAATGAGGACAAAAATCACAATTACTTTGTCTCTTGGATCTATAACTCCTGCAGCTATTGTATCAATTGAAGCATCAGAGAAAACATGGATCTCTCTTCTGGTGGCATTCATTAAGGCTGAAGAAATGTAAGAGTGTGATAGCTGTGAATCTGTGAAATTTTTGCAGTTCTTTTATTGACTCTATCCATGATTCCCATTTTTGTTGATTCTCTCGGAGTACTGAGGTGTCCCAATCTCTGTTTTCAGAAGTAAGCTGTCTTAAAAGTATCTTACCCTAAATGATAGAGGGTGGTATGAAACCCCAAGGATAGTAGATGCTGTTCACAGCAGACAAAACTCCTCATTTCGGGAAGGACTTGTCGCAAGTTGATACTTGAAATGTGAACATGTTTTGTTTGACATCCCAAAGCAATCCTAGACTATGCTTTGTAGTTTAGGAAGCTGTTCAGTGCTTCACAGGCTGTGGCTTTGTGACCTTCTGAAACTCACTGGAAGTCTCCAGAACATGGTAGGTGGGAGGACCGAGGCTGCAGCCTCAATTTTCATGGAGATACCACCAATCCCCAGGAAGGCGAGCCTAGAAGGTGCGGAAGCAACCCATAAATATTCTGAAGCCTGACAGTCTGGGAGCAGAGACTGGGGTCTAGCTGTCTGGATGTGACTTCCTGTGCTGGGGGGATCTGCCCCTGGGGCAGAGAGGAGGAGAAGGAGGAAGAGAGAGAAAAGATGAAGAAGAGAGCTCCAGGAACTCACCTAGCTTAGGTCTCAGCTAGGCTTAGATGCAGACTCATAGCCAAGCCATAAGCAGCCTGTCCAGTAGGAAGGCCAAGACAGCAGCCACTCTGGGATCTTAGGGAGCTTTTTAAAAGTGACTGAGTGAGTGCAAACCAGTCATCACACCCTAAAGGAAGGAAGCGTAGAGCGAGACAGCCAGGAGTAATTCTCTAACTAGCAGCTAGGTGCCGTGCAATACAGCCAGGTACTGCGTCTTTAACACCACTGTTTGGTACTGTTATTCCTTTTTCTCTTTTCTGCACTACTACTCCTACAGCTTTACAGTTCAGTGTGCATCTTAGATTATAGCAACCAAAGACTTAGCAGGTCCTCAACTGTTTGTTTTGAAGTTCTACAGTTTCCTTCAGGGTATCTGATACTTCCCCATTTCCTATCCAAGTTCAACATTACTAAAATAAACACCAAAAAACAAGACCCTTAGACTGTTTTTTGAGCCATCTGGATTTGTGTGAAAATACCATTTGCCTGGCTGTGGGTACTGTGAGGGGGAAATAGGGCCGAAATCCAGCAGCTTCTTCAGGGGTAGTGCTACACATGTGTAAACTGATACCAAGTGATAACGTTTTACATACTCACTTCAGAATCTCTGTATTAACCATTAATAAACAGCAGTTAGGAAGGAAAAAATGGTTCTTCTGGGCAGGTTTGAGCCCTGAGTAAGTTTTAGTAACAGCAGTATCGGGCAAGTACATAAAAGCGTTTTTACATCTATTTTTTTTAGTTTAAAAAGACTTCATTGGGACAATAAGAGTTTGTGTATGGCTAGGTTCACACCCATGCAGTTTGTGTTTGGTCCATTTCT